AAGTTGAGGCTTACAAAAGCTGGATTTACCATGTGCAGTTCCATAGGTAGTAAGAAACAGAGGTGGGTTGGAACTCACATATCCTAACTCCAGAGTGTATGCACTTATTTACTACATTAATAAACTAATTAAAAATATTAAACATGCATGCAAATTTGGGTTCTAGAAAGGAACCCAAATAGAAGACAGCTATCAATGGAACTTGACTATATGTATCTCTCCATTATATTAAATTGATAGGTCCTTACCTCAGTAATAAAAGAAGTCTGCATATAAGCAAGTGTGTTTAACTCTGCTACAAGATTCAAGAATATTACCAAGGAGAATTCTCTCTTTATCTTTGTGTACATTCCTAGGATGAGTGTTATTTTAAAGCTTTGCAGCTAGTGGGTATAACTAATAAAGAAAGCATTCTAGGATGGCTTTTGGTCATAAACCAAAAATAGAATTTAAATATTTAACTAAAATATTGATACTGGAGGCACTGCACTATCTAGAAGTTTTTCAGTCTGCAATGGACACAGGCTGGAGTTTGCAAACTTTTTTTAGGTTGATTTGGGAAAGAACCCTGACAGCAGAAAGGCTTGGGATCTGAATGGGGTGGAGATGAAGGTGACAAGTTCCTTCAGTTCCTATAATTATAAATTCATATAATTAAGGAAGACAAATGTCCCCACTGTCTCCTCTAGAGTTGGCTTCATTTACCTTTAACAGTTCCAAGTCAAAGAGAAAGACGATACCGAAGAATTTCTGCACTGCATGAGCAAGTCTGTCCAGTCCTGATGATGGATGAAGATTTCCTGTGTTTGTTTTTAACAGGCCTGTCTTGGTTATAAAAGCACATGTCTTTTTTTTCCCCTAGAGAATATGTTAATCAAGGTACATTGCAAGCCTCCAGGATAAGCTCATTTAGTCAGGGGGCAGAAGAGTGCACTAATCAGGACACAGGCTCTAGGCTTGGGCTGTTTGAGCTGGAGTCTGGCTCTGCAGCCCCACAGTGTGGCCACTTGCTAGGCCTCATCCACCCTGTGGGGTAGCTACTATTATTATTCCTGCTTTACAGAGCAGAGGCAAGACACCAGCCACTGTGCCTGGCACTTTGCTCTCTAGGATCCAGGACAGAATAGTGACTCTTGAATGCTGGCTACTTTTGTTCGATAGTTACTAGTGTTTAGAGGTCACAGTCTGGAGGCCATACAGTCATTAGTCGAGGCACACTGTGTTTTGGTGTATATATATTGAAGAGCTGGGTCCAACACCTTATCTAGGGGAGCCCAGGAGGGGTTTGCCTGTGGTATGGGCTCTGTTCTCATGGACTGTTTGCTGAAAGCTTGTTAGCTCCACGAGGCGCCCTACCCCAAACCAAGCATGGTGTTACCATCCCAACCTTAATTATTGGGTGCCACTGCCAGAGAGTGCCACCTCCTTGGTCTTTGATGTTGATGTGTAAGCATGTGTGATCATTTGCTTGATAATCCTGTTGACTGAGCTCTGCGGGGAAAGCTTGCCACTTTGGATCGCTTTAGTTTCCTGCCTAACAGCAGAGCTGGTCCTTGGAGACCGTGAGTTGGGTTTTCCTCATGGCCAGTATTAATGTATTCCACACTCTAATCAAGTCACCACACGGATTTCCTCGACATGAAAACCTCCAAAATAATGCTGGAGAAGTGTTTTCTTTCTCTCTAGAATTTTGAGAAACAAATATCTGACTTATTTCTAATATGGTACCAAAGAGAAAATCAAGAGAAAATTTAAAATATAAGAGAAATTTTAAAAGAAAATTAAGTGGCTTCAAGACAAGAAACTTGACTGATGCTCAGGACCAGACTTAATCGTGGAGAATGTATTTCATATCTAAAGATCATTAAGAGTTTCTTTAAACACAGGATCATTGCTGTTTTAAAGTCATTCACATCAAAGTACAATTTATATTAATACCACCAATTTTTACCTTATATAAAACATTTTACTTGCATCCTACTGTGGTAGTTTGTGACTGAATGGAAAATTTTATAAGGGATGAAAAAAAACAACTCAAGTACCTGCCTGATGATTTAAGAGAGAGAGAGAAAAAAATTGTAGACTCAAGAACGGAAGGCCACGTAACACATGCAAACAAATCGCCTTCCAAGCAAGGATGTTTGTTCTTATTCAATATCACATTTGCATTACCTCCCCCGTAAGCTTCCTGATTTCTGTCATTTTATTAAAATTGCGATATACTTACATTCTGGCATTTTATGGAAAGAGACTGACATGAAAGTTGGTTAATGAGATAGAGCTCAGTAAACAAGCGAAGCCTTGCTAAATGTAGTCAAATGATGGACAGCTGCAAATTTAAAGCCATATGGAACTGAGAATATCTTTGATAACATTACAAACCAGAACAGGGAAGTGGAGCATAGGTGGTATCACTAGAACATAGTAGGATCAAATTCATGTCATGTATATGTGTATGTGCTTGCTTAAATCCTAACTTATGGTCCTGTTCCTTAATGTTTATTTGATTATTTCCCCCCGTTCATCAATGCACAGTGACTCTTCCTCCTTGGAGAGCCTCTGCCTCCTTCTGTTTTAGGTGCACGGCCTCAGGGGTCCTGTGCAACCCTAGCCAAATCTGTCCGTATCTAATATCAGCTCCATCTCCACCAGGGATAGGAATTCTAAACCAGCAGTTCTCAAAGTGTGGGCCTGGGACCAGCAGCACCAGCATTTCCTGGACTGTGGTAGAAATGCAAATTCTCAGACCTTGACTTAGATCTAGGGGATCAGAAACTTGAGTAGGGGCCCAGCAATGTGAGTTTTAATGAGCCCTCTAGGTGCTTCTTGTGCTTACCCAAGTTTGAGAAGCCACTGGTCCTACTCTTGCTGCTTTGTACCCTATCTGCCTGAATTGACTTCCAGGGTTTCTCTGTATCAATGAACTTTAGTTTTCTGTCTTTGACATCCTTGTAGATGGGTCTCTGGCCTTTCTGACTGGGTTTATGCCCTGATTTCAGATTTACACTCTATTTCTCAGCTGAGATTACCATCTTGTCCACTAGACTGGAGCCCTATTGACTTCTTTCCCTAATACATCCAGTCCCACCATTACCCTTCTCCCTTCCTGTATGGGGGTTAAATTAATCAAGTCTTTGGGAACCAATCCCACTGGGGCATGTCCATGACCTGTAATCCCATGCTGTATCTCCACCAAGCCCAAATAATACTGGCCTAGGTTGACCTCCAGTTACATCACTATCCTTTATTATCAGAATCTGTCTTATAATCTGGATAGCTGTCCTGACATCTTGAAGGCCCTTATTATACTTCCCTCTCCCTGTGGAACCCAGTTCATGAGACCTTGTAAGTCACAACACCTATTGGAAGTCTCCACTGAGGTCTTTGGAAGGTATAGAGAAGAGTCAGGTACATACTTTAGGATAAAACACATGACTTTTTGATTTGCAATTTCTACAGGGTAAAGACAGAAACAACAGAAAGCAAGTTGCAATTGAATACTTTAAGAAAACCTTGCCATTGTGACCTTGTGTTCTAGATATTCTAGATTTACCTGATGGAGTATTTTAAGACTTTTATCTTGTGGGCACTGGCATCCTTTATCCTTTGCTTTCCACACCCTCATTTTTCATGCATGGATCCAGCCTCCTGAATTTATTTCCTAGAAACCCAGCTCACCACTATCTAAGTAACAATTTCCAGGGGATCCAGGGCTGTAGAGTTTAATGTAATATGTGTACTCATCCATAGGCGCCCACAGGTAACCACCACTGTGAAAGGAATTGCAGACCACATTTATATGACTAGAAAATAATTCAACAAGCCTTTCAAAACACTCTCTATTCACCTTTAGTCAAAGCCCTTTTATGTGTTTAGCAATATTCACAGTACTTTGAGAGGTCTTTTTTTCCCCCTTGAATTTGGTTTAATGCATAGCTACTTGGCCTGATTTAAGCACAAGCTTTCTTCCTCTCAACGTATGAGGCCTGCTTCTGCTTTCTCTTTGTCAAATGGATAAAAAAGTTTATCAGTAAATGCTTAACAACAGCATTTATGTTTGTGATTATACTCTTCTAATTTTTTCATCAATTACTTACTCAATCCTATGATATGTCAGGCAACTGTAAGAGAGGACTCATCTGTAAGAATCTTCTTGAAAGTCCTTTTCCAGTTAGATGGACCTTTTCCTGTCAGCTGTGATAGACAGGAATTTGCCTTAGAGAATGGATGGAATCCAGGGAGGGACTGAATGACATTCAAGATGTAGGGATTAGAGAAATTACCTGTGATTTGCCTACACTACTTTACCTTCTAGGGAATGAAAATGAGGACCCAGGTCACAGAAACATTTACATAAAGACATGAACATCTTCTAATAGTTTTGCCCATTGTTCCAGCTATTCGTTTTTGTCTATGTGTCTGCCACCTGTATGCTTCAGGTTTCTAGAAATCAGCTTCCAGCCAGTGACTACTGCCTGGTTCCTGACTGCAAACTTGACCTCTTTTTCCTGTGAGAAAGTATCTGGCTTCTGTCTGTAGCACCCCTTTGGCTAAACATATGTCTCTCCAACCAAATATACTCAAGGGTTCCCATGTCCCTATTTCTATCTTAAGTGCTGCGAGGAATTCTCCTTGGTATCTGATTTTTCTGTAATAATCCTACTAGACTATCTGGAAGACAAGACCCATGTCTTACTTTCTCTTTGGAAATTCCATCACATATCACATTGTACTCTAATACTGTGGAGTGGAAGAACTAGTAGATGAATAAACCCATGCCTAGGAACACGTTGTAAGTAGACACCATTCTAGGATTTCTAGCACTCTTGGAAAAGTCAGTTTGGTTGGTGCTGGGTCACACTGGTTCACCTGGAGAGTGAAGGTCAGCTTGACTCTAGGAAGAGATCCAGATCTACCACTGTCCATCATTCTGCAGTACCAGAAACTGAATAGCACAACCATGGGGCAGGGTGACCTCTTTGGCTAACAGTACCACTTACCTGATCTGAAGCCAGGTCAGCATGGGCGTCGTTCCTCCTCCAAACACCCAGACAGTGAAGAACACCAGGAGCAGCGTGGTGGTGAACATCATCTGTTTGGGCTGAGATTCCGTGTTCCTAATAGCTAAGGCAAACGCGATCGCTCCTCGCAAACCTATTAGGAAAACCCCAAAGAGAAAATAAGCACCTTGCACGCTTCATTTTCTTTTCAATTGCTTTTATCTTTACAATTTACTAACACAATTACTTTTTTTTTTAGCCAAATGCTTTATCTGGAGGTCACACCGAGCCGGGTGCTGTGGTGCACACTTGTAATCCCAGTGGCTTGGGAGGCTGAGACAGGAGGATCATGAGTTCAAAGTCAGCCTCAGCAATTTAGGGAGGCCCTAAGCAACTCAGTGAGACCCTGTCTCTAAATAAAATATAAAAAAGGGCTAGGGATGTGGCTCAGTGTATAAGTGGACTTGAGTTTAATCCCCAGTACCAGAAAACAAAACAAAAACAAGCCCCCCCCCAAAAAAAAAAAACAAAAACCCAGAGCATTCCTAAGTGCACTTTCTTCTCTTTCCCTATTGATAGCATCTTACAAAATTATTGCACCATATCTCAACCAGAATATTGACATCTAAACAGTCAAGATACAGAACATTTCTATCACCTCCATGATCTTTCCTGCTGGACTTTTATGACCTTTCTTCCCTCATGTGTCCTCAACAACTGGCAGCAAGCAATCTGCTCTGGGTCCCTATGTTTTTGTTATTTGTCATCTTAGGGTTGTTATGTAAATAGAAGCCTGCAGTCTATAACATTTTGGAATTGCCTTTCACCCACCCCCAACATAATTCCCTGGGTCTCCACGTTGCTGTATGTCTCAGTACTCTGTTCCTTTGTATAATTGAGTAGTATCACCTGGGGAGGATGTTTCATGGTTTATTTGACCATTCACCTATTAAAGGACATTTAGACTGTTTCTAGTTGATGGCTATTATAAAGAAGGCTGCTAAGATTGGCACACAGGTTTTTCTGTGAACATAAATTTTCATTTTTCTGAGATAAATGCCCAGGAGTGCAACCACTGAGTTTTGAATGAGATTTGCATGTTTAGTTTTTAAAGAGATTATCCAAGTTTTTTTTTTTTTCCAGAGAACCTCTGCCATTTCACATTCCCACCAGCAATATTAAAATCGTCCAATTTTTCTGTATTCTTGTCGGTCTTGGGGGTGTCCTTATTTTTTAAACATTCTGATAGGTAAGAATGATAATTTATTGTTGTCTTAATTTCTATTTTCCTAACGGCTAAAGGAATTAAACCGTTTTTAAGGTGATAATTTGTTATCCATCCCCCCTCCCCTTATAAAATAGCCTTTCATATCTTCTTTACCTTTTAAAATGGGGATAATTAAATTAATTGCTGGATTTTTTTTTATTGCTGAGTTTTGAGAGCTTTAAAATTTTTTTTGTACAAGGGATTGAACCCAGGGGGCCTCAACCACTGAGTCACATCCCCCAGATTCCTCTTTTTTTATGTTGTATTTTGAGACAGGGTCTCACTTAGTTCCTTAGGGTCTTGCTAAGTTGCTAAGGCTGGACTTGAACTTGAGAACCCCCTGCCTCAGCCTCCCAAGCTGCTGAGATTACAGGCATAAGCCACCACACCTGGAAAGAATTCTTTATGTGTTATAGATAATAATCCTTTGTGGGATATATGGTTTGGAAATATTTCCTTGCACTCTGTAGCTTGTCTTTTCATCTTCTGAAGAGTCTTTTTCCGAGTAAAATTTTTTTTTTTTTTTTTTAGCATTAAACATTTGTTTTTATTTTTTTATTATTTTTTATTTTTTTTTATTTTTTTTTTCATTTTTTGAGCACATTGTAAGGGAGTTTTTTTTTTTAATTAATTTTTTTTATTGGTTGTTCAAAACATTACAAAGCTCTTGACATATCATATTTCATATATTAGATTCAAGTTGGTTATGAACTCCCAATTTTACCCCAAATACAGATTGCAGAATCACATCGGTTACACATCCATATTTTTACATAATGCCCTATTAGTAACTGTTGTATTGGGCTGGGGATGTGTTTCAAGCGGTAGCGCGCTCGCCTGGCATGCGTGCGGCCCAGGTTCGATCCTCAGCACCACATACAAACAAAGATGTTGTGTCCGAGTAAAATTTTTTAACTTTGATGAAATCTAATTTGTTGAGTTTTCCTTTTATGAATTGTGTTTTTGGAAGTCAAGTCTAAGAATCCTGCCTAAGTCCTAGATCTCAAAGAGTTTTTTTTTTTTTCCTAAAAGTTTTATAGTTTTACATTTAAGTCCATGATCATTTTGCTCTAGCATGTTTATGAAGTGAGAGATTTATATTGAGGCTCATTTTTTTCTCCTGTGGATGCTTACTTGTCCCATCGAGTTAGGTTTTGTAAAAAAATAGTTAGGTATATTTATGTGACTCTGTTTCTGAGTTCTGTATTTTGTTCCATTGAGGTATATATCTATTTTTCTAATAGCAAACTGTCTTGATTATTATATCTATATAGTAAACCTTAATATTGGGTAGAGTGATTCTTCTTACATGTTCTTTTTTCCCAAAATTGTTTTAATTATTCCAATTATTTTGTCTTTCTACAAAAACTTTGATTACTCTTGCACGTATCTACAAAAAAAAAAAATCTTCCTAGGAACAATTACTGTAAAAAATGTATGAGAAAATAAGGAAAACTAAACTTATGGACTTAAAATTAGTAATTAGTTTAAAGACATTTAAAAAATATTCCAGACTGAATACATACTTTTACAATCTCTGTGACCCTTGCTAATCTATTAAAATCTGCTTTTTTATTATTTTACCTTTTCTTCTTTAATAACACTGTACTGATAGAGGTTTTTTTTTGAATCCATATTAAATACATTTACTATTTAATACATTTACTATTTAATATATTTATTAAATAGTAAATTAAATAGTAAATGCTACAACTTCCAAGTGTGATGAGATTAATAAAAATAGAAATGTAGACTTTGGTGAAGAGTAATAAAAACACAGGTAGGAGCCAGGCTCAGTGGCACATGTCTGTAATCCCAGTGGCTCGGGAGGCTGAGGTAGGAGGATTGTGCATTCAAAGCCAGCTTTAGCAACTTAGAGAGAACCTAAGCAACTCACTGAAACCCTATCTCAAAATAAAATACAAAAAAGAGCTGGGGATATGGCTCAGTGGTTAAGTGCCTGAGTTCAATACCTGGCACAAAACAACAACAACAACAACAACAAAAAACCCCACAACAACAACAACAACAAAAAAAAACAGGTAGGAAAGAAAAAAGATAAAGTAGAAGGTCCCTCTTGAGAAACCCAGGACTTGCAAGACCTTTTCTTGTTCCTATGTTGTGTGACAGGACAAATAAAGGTTTGTAATGATAGTGAGTATAAGTCAAAGAGTAGTGATTTTTTTTTAAAATAAGAAACATAAAATATTTCAATGATCTGCTTTTTATAATATTTACTGTAGCACATGGCTTTTAAGTTTCCAAATCTTTTCTCAATTTTATAAACCAGATATGGGGAAGGATAAAGAAAACTATAACCATCCTGGCTCTTATTCCATGTTCCCTATCTAGAGTACAATGCTCCTTTTTATCTCTACAGTGAGAACATATAAGAGCCAAGTGGCATAACGAGATCTGGAGGATTAGACGAGAGAGATTTAATACATTTTGCCTGAAACAAGGAAGCGTCAGGAAGAGAGAGGAGCGCACATTCCGATTATAAAATACCTTCCAGGAACAAAGTGTAATGGAGGAGGGAAATTATTCTAAATCTCCATGTAGACAAGGAAATGGCCTGAAGATAAGGAAGATAACATTTGAAGTAGATATTAATAAAAGAGTTTCTATACATCAGAAATTCTGAACACTTAAGAGGCCTGTAATGAAGAAGAAGAGTGTCCCCATCACTGGGGATCCCATAGACACACCCAGCTGGGGACAGGCGGACTGGAGGATTGGTAGCCCTTAATAGTGGGAGCTATTTTAATGATATTCTCTGCAGGAAATACAAATGGTGTCCTTTGGGAATAATGACTCAAGGAACAGTTTTGCAACAGACTTCTGTATCTAAAGAAAGAATTTATAGGTCAACGTAAAGCTCCTAGCGGCATTCAATCACAGAGCAGGCCTCGAGATAGAAGGTGATCTTTTAATTTTCTCTAGTCCTCAAGCTGATATTGCTAGAAATGCCCAGAAAGCAACATTGACCTCCAAGTTGGCTGATACTAGAGGCATTAGGTGAAGAGACATCACTGTTTTTCTTTCTTACTATGAATATTTGGAGAATTTTTTTACTTCTGGTTTTGTGTGAGAAAGAAAAGAACACAGAATACAAATTAAACTTGCTATGTCATGCTCACTGTAAACTCTTTCATGTTGAATATCAAGGGCGGGACATAAGGAATTGTTAACCTTCCTAAGTGTGTTTAATAATGTATAATTATTATGTTAAACTAGCATAACTATGCCCTTAAATCTAAATTATCTGTATGCATGCAGTTCTTGGTTTAAATAAAAGACTCAAAGAGATCTATTAATCTGACTTCTAATACATATATATATATAATATATATACATATATATATATATATATATATATATGTACATATATTATATATATTATTTGAAGTAGATATTAATAAAAGAATTTCTATACATCAGAAATTCTGAACACTAAAGAGGCCTATAATGAAGAGAAAGAGTATTCCCATCACTGGGGAATCACATAGCCACACCCATATAATAATATTATATATATATTATATATCATAAATTATAATATATAATATATAACATTATATATTATATTGTACATTTATATATTATATATTATTAATATATTATATTGTTATATGTTATATATTATATATATTATATATTCTAGTACATATATATATAATACTATATTATTACATATATCTCACATATTAAAATCCCTATTTATGGGACATGCAATTTAGAGATTTCTGGGGGAAAAAACTGACAGGTACAGCTATATCCTTGTGGCAGGCTGAGAAACACTGCTAATTGAGGGCCAAACTCCAAGCTGTTGACAAGATGACTTCTGAATATGATGGCCACCTTGAAAAACATGTAAAGATGATGGC